AAGAAAAAAAAAATATGTGGAAACTTGCCAGGTTTATCGAGGAGACAAACCTATAGGACCCAAGCTCCTCTAGGGTTTATCGAGCCCCCACCCATTCCTGCTGCACCAGGACAGAGTCTGTCCATGGACTTCATCATCGACACCCTCGTGGCCAGCAAGTCTGCCAAGAGGCATGCATCTTCCTTGTCATTGTAGATAGGTTCTCAAAATATGCTACTGTCTTCACCCGAATAGAACGCCCGTTCATTATAGCCGTATCTGGTACACTTCGAGTCCAGAATCCAGATACAGCTATAATGACCGGGCGTTCTGTTCGGGTGAAGACGCAAGGGTCGCTGCGCTGCCAAAGACTCCAAAGCCCCAGACCTGGTAGTGATTAAAATGTTCATGGAGCACTGGGTCAGACAGAGAGTTCTGTTTCTTAAAATCGACAGTTAGCGACCAAAATGTCAGATTCACTAGCGAGCTGTGGAGAAAGACTGCGGAACAGATAGGCTCCCAGCTGCAAATGACGTCAGGGAACCATCCTGAGGCGAACGAACGGGCGGGCAGAACAGATGACCCCGGTCGTCCAGCACCTGTTGAGGCACTATAGTATTAAGCCCAGCCAGGAAGACTGGCATGCGAGGCTTCCTCTCATCACCAGCCTGTACAATTATAATGCACTGCATGGTACCCCCACTGGACGGACCCCTAGTCAGTTGCACCTTGGACGGAAGCCCAGATCGCCGTTAGTTAAGACTTCCTCCTCCCTGACGTTGGACCAACTGCTGCACCGGGGCGCATTGAGTTCGGTATAGAGTACGACAGAATGCTGCAGCCGACAGTTGAACATATTCAGAAATCTCAAAATGCAATGATTGCAGCTGAGGAAAGCCACAGAAGGGAGTTTCAGGTAGGCGAACAGGTCTGGGTCAACTCATCAGAGTTCATGCAGGAAGTAGACATGTATCGCAAACTAATGCCACAGTACTTTGGGCCATGGGAAGCCCTGGATATCAAGGGTTCAGACCCAAATGGACCATCGTATGTCATCCACGTACCACCGCACTTACCCTGTCTGTCTTTCACGCATCCACACTCCTTCCTTTCTCGCAAACTGACGAGTTTGTTTCCTCCGCGAAGATCTATGTTGTTGCCCCCAACCATGGATGGATACATGGACCGACCACATCGTGGAGCATAAGCTTATGCCTGCCTGTTCCAAAGCCTGTTGGACGAGGAAGGCCACGAAAACTGCAGAAGCAGTTCCGGGTCAGATTCATTGTACGGATGGGCCCTTAAGAAGTTTGGTGGTTCACGAGAGAGGAGCTGATGAAGACAGCCCCTCAAGCCATCTCCCGCTACGAAAATATGACTGAAGGGAAGCAGCACGTAAGCTGAAAACCTTCTCAGAGCACTTCCAAAGCTGAGGGGGAGGGAGTGTGAGGGATGAGGCCCTCGGTCAGCACATGGACGGGGCGTGCAGCCGCTGTAAATGGCCTGCGCCCAGTTGCAACTGTCTGTAAAGGGCCGCCCTAAGTGAAGGTGGGCCCTACGGAAAGTCAAAGTCAGCGAGGCCTTCAAAGCGGCTAGCTAATTTGGGCGGAAAGAGGCCGTGGGTTGGTCGCTGCAAGCAGGCCCCACAACCAACCGGTAGGCTGGTCAGTCGCAGACTCTGGGAGATGCCGAGGCGAAGGGCATACTTACAGTTGAGCCCTCGGCACATTCTGGAAGGGCCCTCGGCACAGCGGCTACTGGGACGGGAGGTGACCGTCCAAAGCCAGTCCATGCCCAGCCAGACACTACAAAGGAATGTAACCAGCCTCTCTCGCATTCATTCACTCATTCTGCAGGCTGGGCGGCGGCAGCGCTGCTGGGGTGCACGCTGGAAGAAGGTCGGGCAGAGTGGGAAAGCGCTGGTGGGACTTGTGAGGAAGCTGCCAGGGCGCAACAAGGCTGAGCAGCGGCCATAGCCAGGCCACTGTCTCTGTATGCCGAAGGAGGTGTGGCAGAGGTCCTTGGGAGAGGGCGCTGTGGATGTGGATGGCTGGTGAGCAGTGATGATGAGCAGGACGGGCAGTCGGAGTCTCCATTCATCATTGGGCAGCTGCACTTCATGATGACATGTTGACGTCAGTAGGAGGCTAGGTATCTAGGTGTCGTCTGATTGTAGTCTGGGCGCCAAGCGCCATGTAGGAGATCGGAGATCGACATTGGGAAACATAGAGGCGGCGAGAAGTGTGGGCTTGCATTGTCAATCGACTTCATTGCTCTGCTCTTATTTGGTGCATCTTCGGTGCAATCTGCTTTCAGACTCTTTTCAGATCGAACATATGACTATCCGGTTTTCTATGGGATGATGCAATTTCGTCTCTGTCATTCGTGTTGCTCATTTCCCTTGCATACGAAAATTTCAATAATGAAACTGCCAACAGAATCAGTGATTGGCCGGTCCATGTCTAGTCTTCCGTGGGCAGGGATTGGTGGAGGACATTTTGGAACGGTGTTTCTAAGAATTGTTTGAAATGGGACAGGGAACGGGTGTTGTTGGGGGGTCTGCCGGAACGTTTGGATATGAAGAAAGGATGGGGATACATTGCCGAAGCTGCACGGGCCGTGGGTTGCGCGGTGATTTGGAGGGAAAGGATCCTGAGAGTATTTGAGGGAAAAGAGATGTCCACCAAGGAGCTTCGGTCGATGTTCGGGTCTCTCCTGAGACGAGTGATTCAGGCAGATTGGCGGCGCAAGGGTAACAGTTCTTCTTCCTGTTGGTTCGGTGACGTGACTCTTGGGGTTCTGGGGGCAAATTAGTCAAGCAAGTTAGAGTGGGGTCAGTTGGTCTTCAACGATTGGTTCTGGACGCGGTAGGCGCCTGGAAGAACCTGGGTGCTCGGTTCATTATTATTTCCACAGGAAGAAGGCAAGAGGGTCAAGTTGGTGGAGGGAGGGCCAGGGTGGGTAGCATGGTCCTATGGGGACCGACTGTCGGTTTAGACAGCTTAGTTTCGTTCAGGTTAGGTAGTTCGGCTTTCGGGTCAGGGCTGAGAGTCTTCCCTCTTATAGGGTCCTTGGAAGTAGCTGTGCTGTAACCTAGTGGTAGCTCCCTTTCCGTCTGTTCAGCTTTAAGGCTTGCAGCGTGGTTAATTTCAGGGTCTGAGGCTTCAGGACAGCAGCCCAGAATTGGCTATTTTCTGTGCCTAGAGATTTATCGGCCCTGCTTTTATTGAGTAACAACAGGTGCAGTCTTGTGGACGGTAAGCGAAACTGGCTAATGCTGCCAAATAAACTCCGGGTTGAATGGTGAATTTGTGAGGTGCCCGGCCTCGATTCAACTGTTGGTAATAAATGGATTTGTTTGTTGGGATAAAAAAAAAAAAAAAAAAAAAAAAAAAGAGAGGATGCCTAGGTTAAATTCACATGTTCAGCCATTGGAATAGGCTCAAACACACAATCGTCGTAAGTCCTAAGTTGCGACCTTGGCCCAGATGTTATCATTGTTATCTTATCCAGTCATTATAATTCATAATAGAGTTATTTGGGGACTTTAATTTAATCCACGACCAAAACTTGAACACAGAGAGAGAGAGAGAGAGAGAGAGAGAGAGAGAGAGAGAACAAATCAAAATTCAAACTAGATAGATGGAGTTTACTCTGTTCATGTGCCCTTTGGATTTTGGACAAACTGAGTGGGACTAGGATTTTCATGGATGTACCTGATCGCAAGTATAACTACATTCACTTAGAAAAAAGAAAACAAGAGAAGCAAAAAAAGGAAAAAACGAAAAACAAAACATATTGGGAATATGATCTCAGGAACGCGACGAATCTCCTCATCATGTCATTCTCAATTTCCCAGCAAGCATATCTCAGGGCGTGCGTTTGCACACCTGGACTTTCCATGATGTATACCACTGTAGTTGCAGATAAATTCAGCCTGACGAGCCCGAGTGTGAGCACGCCTCTAATTGGGCAAAAGGCATTATTAGGTTTGATCAAAATGAAACTGAATCGTGGTGGATTTTCAACATCAGAGCCGTGTTTCGGATTTGACTTGTTTTCCGTCTCCTCCTTTTTTGTCTCCCAGTTTATAGCACACCCCTTCACCCTCCCCCGTTCTCCCTCAACCCCACAAACCCCGCTCCCTATCCCACCCTCTGCGAATATCAAACCGCAACAAGAAAAAAAAAAAAAAAAAAAAAAAAA